GCTCGAGGCCCGTGGGTAGGCGATTCGTGAGATGGGTGTCCCGTGAGGGGTGGGAGCGGCAGGGACGGGGCACAGCCCCTCACGGGCGGCTCTGGGTACTCCCTGTGAGTACAAGGACTGGATGCTTTGAGGAGGGACAGTGGAGAGGTCAAAATAGCAACCTGTGTGCACTTGTGTCTGGCTTCTTAGGTGGGTGTTTTTGCCGAAAGAAATTTTGTTTGTTTAATTCCAAGTTGATATCCTAGTCTCTGGGCCTATTGCCTTTTGTTCAGGCACACAGGGGGATTCTTGGGGTTGTCCTGTGCCAGGCCTAGGAGTTGGACTTTGGTGATTCTCGTGGGTCTTTTCCAACTCAGAATATTTTTATTCTGTTCCGAAAATTTTCACAGTTAGTGCCGTTAACTACCTTCAACAATCCCCAACACTGTGAGTTTATAACTGAAATTCCCGTGGAGTTGGGAGAGGAGCACACACCTGCTAATAGCTCCTTGTGTGGCTTTATAAGTAACTGTGTATCGTGGGATATCATTGCAGTGAAGGAGAAAGAGGCAAAGTCACACAGCCCTGTACTACAGCAAGGGGGCTCCCGTGGAGCTCTGTGGGCTCTCTTGCACAGGCAGGCTCCTGAGGCCGCCTGCTGGGGCAGTGCCTAATCAGAATTTTCTTGCAGGTCATCAGGTGCAAGAGATAAGCTTGACGAGGTGGGACAGGCAGCGTGGGGAGGAGAAGCACCTGACTCAGGGAAGGTCACAGCAGGTGAGCAGTAATTAGGACACTAATTACCAGTGAGAGTACATTATGTGTTCATTAGGAGACATGGTTTTGCACATTTCTAGATCTTTATATCTCTGCAAATGTGGTTATTAAGATCAACATAAATATTAAGTCAGTCCATAATGATTTGTAGAATTGCTCAATATCAGTATGCTTTAGGAAGATTATTGGCTTTTTAAAAATAATGCTCATTGCCCACTGAAGTCACTTAGCTGTGAAGAGAAGTGATGGCTTGAAGTGCCTTTGTTTCTTATCAGGATAGTGGCCAAAAGAACTGTGAGATGAAGTGGCTTTGTAATTAGGTGGGAATAGAACTTAAATTTGGAATTAGGAAACTTTAAGAAGGTCATAATACGGACAGAGTTTACTTACCAAAATAGTGCAGTTATGAAACATCTTCACACTAGGAAATTTGTACTTTTTTGTGGAGCAGGAGACAAGTGATTTTATTTGGTTTTGGATTGGGTTATGAGCCTCTGTATTTCAATATGGGATCCTCAAAAGGGTCTGAGGAAAAACAAGGACTCCTTTTGGCTTTTGGATTTTTTCCTTCTTTTTATTTATAGTTTGTTTCAGCAGCTAGAATAGATTCCTTGCATTTTACCTTGTGCTTGTTCTTAATCCATGGTGAGGTTTTTGGGGCTCTATTTGTTCCACACCCTCCAGCCCTGTCTCTCTGAAGCATTAGGGATTTGTCCTGCCTGAGACTTGGGTGATGCAGAGCTTGTGCTGCTCCTCACTGTTGTTTCTTCCTAATATCCAATCTCACCCTGGTCTTTGTCAGTGTGAAGCCATTCCCTCGTGCCCTTACCACTCTAGGGCCTGGTCCAAAGTGCCTCTCCTGCTCTCTTGGAACCCCTTTAGGTGCTGGAAGGTGCCCTAAGGTCTGCCTGGGCAGGTCAGCCCGTTGAGTGGGCATGAGAGTTAATTTGGCTCAGTGGATCTGTGGGGATTGGAGTCCTTGGGAGGTGCAGGCAGACGGAGGCTGCCCTGGCAGCTCTGGGGCTGGGGCTGTGCTGGCTCTGCCTTCTGGGATCACCAATCTCCAGCCACGGGGAGGGATGGAGGGGCTCAGCCTGGGCTGCTGGGCTGCAAGGACAAAGGGAGTTCTGTCGGGGGGACAGGAAACAGTTTGGGATCAGTTAATGCAGCACTGCTGTGAATGAATGCTGAAAGGAAGATGAAGTGTAACAGATCTACTGTTCCAAATTTGGGTTAATTTATGTGGGATTGACAGTAAAGGCCATCAAAAGAGAGAAGTGGTGTGTGAACCTTCTCTTAAGACACCCGAGCTCAGAGTTCTGCCAGTGAACTGTGTTTGTGTCCATGGCTTGTTAAGAATCTTCCAGAAATGGGGATATATTTATGACATTTATGCATAGGGTGTAGAAGGCTGCATCTTTCATCTGCCAGGTTAGAGTCATTGCTAGGGGTTCAATTTCTCCTCTTATCAGCTTTGTAATGAAATTCATACTGAGTTGGACAAGTCATATTTTGAAACTGTGCTGAAGTTTTCTTATTTAGATAAGAAGAGGTATTTGGACATGGGATTTAGATTTCAATCTGACTAGTGGCAGCTTAAATAAAGTATTGGA